TATGCATAAAAAAAAATATAAGTCTATTATAAATCGTTTGGCTTTAAAAAAAAAATATAAAAATTTTTTTAAATATAGTCAATAAAATTATTATACTTACATCAATCACTGTACCATAATAATAATTAATTTAATTTACCATTATTTTGAATAATAAGTATAAGAAAAAGTATATACTATTTATAATTATAAACATTTTTTTTTTTACTATATTAGTCTGACAATGAAAATTTGCTCAGTTTTTTTGTCCAATTATTTAAATTAATATATCTAGGTAAATAATTATGGTTTAATTCATTAGCTAACTAGTTATATTTAATAATTAATTAGTTATTTCTGCCATTAATGTTTATTGTTTAAAACCTACCAGTTCATTTTGAGGAGAACCAATTTAAGAGAAATAGAATGGATGGCTGGGTTAAATTAAAATGGGACGCCGTTTCCACAATTTTCAACGTTCCAAATCCACCAAAGATGACAACCAGATAATCAAAGTAAAAGGTGTGCAAAAAAATTTAATTATTAAATTAATTATCAATAGTTCAGTTATTTAAGTGGTACAACCATTAATTAAATTACATTAAATTAATTACATTTACATATTTTATTTTTTTTTTAATAGAGACCTGTTACTGTTGAAGACAATATTTCCTGCCAGATTGCAGATACTTCAAAAGACATAAACACTTCATATGTAAAATCTGTAAGTAGACTTCTACAATAAAATTAGCTATTTTTTCAAAAATGATTCCTGTAAAAATATATTACTTACTTTTAATTACAGTGTATTTATTGCCATGAGTATGTCAATGAAATTGCTGAACTAAAAAAACAAGTCGAAACATTGAAAAAAGAAACTGCTGAAAAGGAAATTTAAACAATTTTCAACTGAACAGCAAATAAATGTTCTTTCTAACGAMACAAATGTACAGCAGTGGGATAATKAAATAATTATGAAATCATTAAAAATTCGTTTTGCTTTTGGTATTCATGGATTTCAATATTTAAGAGAAATGAACTCTCCGTTACTCTGCTATAGCACGATAGCTCGTCGACTACGGGGTCTTAAATTRRAATTTGGAATGTTTGAATCAATGTTAGAACCTTTAGTGTTTAAAGTTAAACAATTGGAGAAAGAAGACAGGTTCTGAGTTCTTTTGTTTGATGAAATGGAAATTAGCTGCGAAGAATCATATGATAAGAACCAAGGTAAATGTTATGGAAAGATTACTCTTGGTAACACTAATAAACTTGGAAGTAAACTTTTATTAGTGTTGCTACGTAGTGTAAAGAATAATTGGAAACATGTAATCGGTGCTCATATTACAGAATTAACCAAACAATTTATTTATGATTGCATAGAGTTTTGTAAAAAAGCTGGTTTGAAAGTTCATTCACTATCTTTTGATATGGAAAATGAAAACAGATTACTATGGAAAGAGTTAAGTTTAAAAATTAAAAAAAACTGGTATTCGACAGAATTATTTTACTTATAATGGTAATAATGTGYTTATTATGCCAGATGTATGTCATTTGATTAAAAATTTAAAAAGTACTGCATAAAGGAACTCAATTAAATTACCTAAAGAATACCTAAATTACTAAAAACTACCTAAATTTTTGAGGGACATTAAAGCAGTTTATCGTTAAGGTTTTTATACATAAAATTATTTTTAATATTTTTTACATWATTTTTAATTTTCTTAGTAAGATTTTTTGGTTTTTTTTAAAAATATTTTTGACTTATGACATTGGGTATTGTATTATTTATTACTATTATTTTTAATGATTTTTACTAATATACTAATAATTAAAATWTTTGACTATTATTTTAATTTGGTTATTTATTTACATACTACTATAGTACTWTTACTATTTACTGTGTATTATAGGTGWGCGGTCTACATATTATGTAGAAAAATGTTGGTAGATCACATATCCGAGCAGCACCGAATGTTGTATATTCATGTGCAACATCACAGAAACTAAAAATCTTCCAGAAAAATACAAGTTTTACACAAAATCATTAAATAAAGGAGAATTGAAAAAACCTTGTATCAATAATACAGTACTTTAATTGTGAATTAGTCTATAGAAAATATAAAACCCGCTTTTTACATAACTCAAATTTTAATATTGTAGATGAAATAAGTAATAACATTAAATTACCCGCTCTTTGAAAAATATTGCAATGTCAAACATAAGTTTATAAAACATTATTTTACTATCAGGTCTTATACAACTTGTAATTTATCTGTTTGTAAGAAACAAAAAAAATATACAGAACAGCAACAGAAAAGAAGAAAAGAAATTAAATTATAAAGTTAAACCAATTCATTGTTTTTATTTTCTAGAATATAAATTATAATATTTGTTTTTTATTTTAT